TATTGTTATTTAAACAAATATTTAAACAAATAATGGCACATTTTGTGCACATTACATTCATACAAGAGTGACTTGTGGTCTTGTCAGAGATAATTGCCTGTTAAACAGGAAAAAAATGAAAAATATTAATATTCTGACTTGACATTATTTTTATATTTGTTTGGCTTAATTTTTTATTGTCTTGAAGTATTTTTTACTAACTTACTTTTCAATCTGTATAACTGTTTTCTTTAAGATAAATGATCAACAAATCTTTAATTCTAAATAATTATTTAACTTGAAAAATCATTTTACATTGATTTTTATGTAGTATATTAATTTTAAATTGAAACTTCATAACTTTAAACAACACATTGTTTGAAAATTAAATAAAAAAACTGTTACCATATTCAAATGAAATTCATCTGTTGGTATCATATTAGGTATTTATTTGTCTCACCACTATTGTAGAATGTTAACAGATTTTATAATTTGCAGAGACTGGTTATTGATTTAATCTCTAATTTGGTAATTAACTAACTTTCTACTTTTGCATTGGATATTTTCTAACTGTTTAACTTGAATAAGTGAAACAGACATAGTTGTTTAAATGCTTTAATATCTACTACACTTGGATTTGAATCTTGGCTTACCATTTTACAGAGAGACTGCTGAAAAAATTGATAATATACTACCTGTTTACAGTTGGTTAACAATTTATACATGCTATCTGCAAAGACAAATATTTTTTCATTACATATAATAATGATATTAGTTGGCAATGAGAAAGTGGTATAGACTTACAGTTACATGCTCATAAATCATCACTCACCAGAAAAATAAATTTTGATTCTCTCTGAAATTCTCTCTGCTGATGGGGGAAATCTCTCCCTACTTTATGCATTACTCCTATCTCATAAATTAGGATGTGTACAGGAAAGAAGTATGCAACAACAAGAAAGCTTCAAATGTGTGTTATTAAACATTCACAGAATAAATCATAAATTCAGTCCACAATGAAAACTCTTGTGAAAACCTAATTTGTTGATTGAACACAATATTTGCTGTACTGAATGTGTGTGGTCTGTTATGGCTGGAACATGTTCCATCCTAAGATAAGGATCAATAAAATAGTAAACTTTTTTTGGATTACACTTGCGTTGAGTTTGGCATCAGCTTATCAAACCCAACTTTCAAATCAGTGTGAGAAATAAAAAAATCCACTCTATCTCAAAACAATAATTCATATATTTATACTCATAATATTTTTATGTTTTTAGAATAGAAATAGATGTTTATCATATTCTCATTGAACAGGATTATATTGTATTTTCCAGTAATGGGAAAATAAGATGAAGAAATTTAATAGATTAATGTATTCAAGCAATGTTGCAATAGAGTTATAAAACTGTCATTAATATTTCTGTTTTTATAACTAAAAATTAACCTTGTTTCTTTTAGTTTCCTTTCCTCATGATTATTTTGCTTGTATTTTGAAGTAAATTAATCCCTTCTCCTTTAACTCCTGCCCAGTTAATAAAAGATTGAATTTGGGTATACCATTCACTCCTTTTGTTTCAAAGATTCAATCATACTTTCAAGACAACTAAATAAATTACTTTGAGTGTGTATTCTTGAACAAAAAAAAAACTGTAAATTCTGATGTTACTTTTTCTTTGTTTATTTGGGTAAACTAAAAAGGAACCAAGGATGCAGTACATTTGTCAAAAAAGAAGTTTTTTCCCTCTTCTAGTGGCAAATATGATAAGGGTTCCACCCTACCTGAGGCAGGAAAATTTGCATTGGGAGTATGTTTGCTTAAAACCATTTCTCTAGTCTAATTCAACCTTTGTCAGTAAACTCACACATGCATGCAGCCATATCCATATATACATCATGTGACTGTGTAAATTGCATAAATATGTTGCATGAAATGTGCTTGTGGATTTAGATTATACAAGATTTACCTTTTATGATTCTTCTACTCGTATGATGGAAAGAAGAATTGTCACTTTCCAGTTTTTCTTTCTCATTCCATTCATGAACTTGTTATTCTCAGAGAATATCATCTTAACAGTTGGGAGCCTCTTAATAAGACACAAGCACAAATACAAAAAATGAATGAAAATAGCATGAAAGATTTCCTTAAATTTGAATTGGATTATTATAAAGAAACAATATGTTCAAAGTAAAAATTGAAGGACAAACAAAAAATAATCTACCACATTTCTAAATTTGTTATTAATTTGTCCTTGGATTTTTTGATTTGTATCAATGAATCTATAGCAAAACAATGCCTATAATATAGTTATAGGTATTGCCTTAGTCTACAGATATATGACATTGCAAACAGTACAGTTTACAAATATTAAACTGATGGCAAAGGTATCAAAAGTCTTTTGATAGAAGACAATTTTCTTTCTGTTTTTACAATTAACTGGATTGAATCAGATATTTTACAACCTCATTTTCAGTTTTATTTGCAAAGTTTGTGCTTATTTGTATTGTCTTATTTTCAATCTGTTTTCATTAGACATGCATGCTTTTTTTACTTTATATTATATCCTCTCTAGTATTTTCCAAATCACATCTATTTTCATTTTTGTTTAAGTCATTTTCTTCAACCATTATGCATTGATGTTATTTAACTTGATAACATTTACAGAACAAATTGGCTGAGTGTCCCTGACATGTAAGAATATTTATATTCAATGACAAAACTCTCTGAAATACAAACAAAAACAGAAAATACTCCTAAGTCAAGCCATTCATAAATTTACAATATTCAAGTACAGTCAGTATTTCCACCCACCCAAGAGTGTATGTATGTGTGTGTGTGTGTGTATATATATATATATATATATATATATATATATATATATATATATAAAAGTGAACATAAGTCAACATTTACGACAGTCTGTTTCATGCTATATGCAATCGTCAGGCTGTCGATTGGCTGGCGATTTCCTATGTTCACTTTTATATTCACACTCTATATCTCTGATATTGAGCACTTTATCCTATAAATATAGCACTCCTTAAGACTATATTTCTTTTATATATATATATATATATATATATATATATATATATATATATATGGTTGGATTGATGTTAGCTCTATCTCTGATATTGAGCACTTTCTAAAATACTACATATATATATATATATATATATATATGTGTGTGTGTGTTCATCTAATGGAATCTTCTTTTTCTGTAAAATAGATTGGTGGCTATTTAATGTTTTCTAATCAATCATTTCTTTAGTTAACTTCCTCTGTCCATGAAAAATGTGTGTGTCACTGTGTTGGTAGGAATAAGGAATGAAAGAAAGTGCTGAGGAAAAATGAGTATTTCCCAAATTACTTAAAGGTAAATCCATTTTCTTTCTATAAGTGATATGGGAGTAGGACCTGCTTGGCTTAACCCCAGAGACATGTCAGTCATGAATTGGCCATTGGCCAGTGCAGACAGATTTAATCCTTCTACCATTCACCTGGTCCCAAAGATTGTCATCAAACTCACTAACCCCCTCCTATTTTATTTTTCCCCTTTGTTCACTCACACATTCAAGTCCTTTTACCTCTGATCTGATTGTGCTTTTATTAGTGATAGTTGAAGTATTAGTGGCTGCACCGTTTGATCTCCTTAAATATTGACTCTACCTCACCTTTATTACTAACTGGTTGGGTTTGGTGACTAATAGAACTTTTTAAACTTTATCTTCATCCAATTTGTCATCTCTTTTTTTTACTCAAATTATTAAAGTGAACAATATACTTATATTTTTTGGTCAGTTTAAAAAATGAAAAATAAAAGCAGTTATTTTGTTGTATTTATTTATTTGTTGTTATTCCTAACAATCCCTGTTTAGCTTTTAGGAACTAACAATAATTCATCCACTATAAATTGTAAATAATAGTGAGTATTATAAATAAAAATTAGTGTTCAGTTTATTGAAAAATTTTCACCTGAGGTAACAAAGGTTAAAATCCAAGATCAATGTGGAGGAGAGAAACTAACTGGCTTAGCGTTGATACAAGACCACAAGTACAGGGATTGGGTGGGTGGGGGCTAGTGTAGGTCAAACTTACTACTGATTCAGCTTGCTACCAATTACACTTACAATGAGGTGACCTTTTTTTTCTTTTCTTTTTTGTGCATGTAGCACCCTGTGAGTTCTGGGCTCAGTACTAATAATTTGCAATACTAGTAAACAACAAGAAATGTTATTTATTAATAAGCTTCTTAGCTTATTTGGGCAGTTCTTAATTGTGGGTAACCAGTTAGAGGATCACTTACTGATTATTTTGTAATGGTCAAGCAAATTATCTGCCAACCATGTTCAGTTCGGTAATTAGAGATTTGTTGTGTTGGATTTATAAGAATTTAAAAATCTTTTTTGTTTTGAAAATTTAAGGAAACAAAGTTTTCAATGGTTTCATAGAATTTTTTTTTTACTGTCTTTTAACTCAAATATTGTTTCCGTTTGGTTCCTTTCTTTAGTGGAATAAAATTGATTTTTATATTGTGAGAGAGAACTTTACAAATGTGTGCATGTTACTTTGTTCAATTAATTACTATTGATGATAAGAACTGATTTTCTCAGCAATAGAAAAAAACGGCATATAGACTTGTTGATTACTTGATAGGTTTAATATTCTATTGTCATATATCAACTTGACAGATCTTATTATCGATCTCTGCTTATAATGTCAAATGTATCTGTTGTCAATATTTAAAGTCAACGTCTTTGTCTGTCTGCTAATGGTTGAAATTTGCTGTTGGTTCGTAGTTTAGTAGCAGCTACAACAGATCATAAGAGTTGTATGGTAGTATTAGTAGCATCAGTCTCCGCGTCATCATCATCACTATTATTATCATCATCAGTAGTAAGTGGTTCTCTCATCCGCTGTGTTCACCTTAGGAGTATTTTGTCCCGGTCTCCTCTATGGCGCACCTTCCTACTACCTCCACATCCACACTGATTACAGACAAGTAGCATGTGCCTGGCTCATGCCCGTTTGCTTTACCTCTCTTTCCAGCATTTCCCCGTACCCAACACTCGTCTTTCTTTTTGCTCTTCGCTTATATTCGACTCCTCTTCTCGCTATTAACGGGGTCGGGAAGAAAAGAAAAACGCCCGTTCCGTCCTGTCTGTAATCTTTACCAACACCAGAGAGAACCTCTGATCTCTTACTTTAAGAGAAGAGGAAATGTTCCACTGGAAAAAAATAAAATAAACAAAACAAAACGAGCTCACCTTCCTTCCATTTTAGTACGTTCTCACTCCCACCCAAGTAATTTTTAGTATTTTAAACTCGTTGTTGAATATTGTAGATTCAACGCAGTCAACGATAAACTACTCCGTCATAATCATCATCAATAACAACAGCAATAATTAATTAGCCGCTCAACTTTTTTGTGAGACAAAGACAGATAAGTTTTTTTTTTTTTTTTTTAATCACGTCTCGCGAATTTTACCACTACTGTAACTTAGAAGTTACTTCTACTACTCATAAACATTTGATTCGATCAAAAACACGTGGAATTGTTTACTCTGGCTAGCCTATTGTTTTAAAAATTAAACCTCTTTCCGTCCACTTTTGTCTAGAGTTCAACAGATGGCCATTTTTCAGTCATATCTGTCTTTGAGAAATTCTAAGTATAGGACATTAAGATCATTTATTGCGTGTTCAAGAATACCTGAATTATTTCAATTCAATTTTTCTTTTGGCACCTGGTAATTAAAATAAATCGTAATTACATTATTTTTTCTGAATTAGTCCTAATTTATTCAATTCGGTGAACCATCCATTTTTTTCTGTATATGACTTCTTTTCACCAGGCTCCATGTAGGTGTTGCTAAAAAAAAAAAAAATAAAATAAAAAGAAAGGTAAACTAAGCCAGCAAAAAGTCAGTTGTCTAATGTCTGCAGATATTATACAAATATACGTTGGAATACTTCCACTGTGCTGTTGGATGACGTCTTTCTCATCATGTAAAAAAAAAAAAAAAAAAAAAATTAACCCACACGGCCTCCCTCCTCTACATACAGTGAAAAAGTGATAAAAAAATATTTGTAAATAAATCATCTGCCTTTTATTTAATTTTTAATCTCCAGCCTCCAGGTTCAAAGAAGAGGATGAGTTAATTTTTTTTAGTTTTTATTGGTCTATTCATTTGAACTGGAATTAATGTTTGCTTTAAGAAATTCTTGATATAGTCTTTCTGTTAGTATTTTCTTTTATTTTAAATCTAAAGATCCCAATCTTTCTTTACAGAATGTATGCTTAAAGGTAACTGAGAAGAATTCATCACCAGTCAGTATGCAATAAATATATTATATATTTTATTCTTAAGTCAATGAGTTGACACATTTTCTCAGATTTATGGACACAAAGATTTAAGATTTTTTTTCATATGTGTAAATAAACTTAGGAAGTTTGAGTTAACAAAAGCCATGAGAATTTTCCATATGAAATATTGGACTTTACTTTTAGTATATCCTGTCAAAAGAAAAAAAAGTTAGTTTCTCACCTCATTAAAAAAACAAAAACAAAAAACTTTTGCTTTATATTAAGAAATTAAATAAAAAAATTTGTTGGGTCTGTGATATTTCTTTTTTTTCATCTTAATTGTTTCTTTGTCAAGATTAGTCTAGTTGAAAGTAACTGGCATCTCCCAAACTAGTCTGGAAGATAGGCAGGAAGAAGTATAGGTTTTCAGCAGGCAAAAATCTTCCAAACAATTTCTATCTTTGCTTGCCTTGACATCTCCCAACTGGAAATCCTTCCATTCCTACACAGTAGTAATATTCCATTAGTCTCTCTCTAACTTATAAAAAATTAAACATTGCATTTTCCTTCATCCTAACTAATGATTTTGATTTGTCACGCCTTCCTTTACATGTCTTTTCAGGTACAAGTAATATTTTTTTTTTTTTTTTTTTTACAAGAAGATTCTGGAAAGTTATCAGCCTGACCTCCTTCCCCAAATCAGGATTTGGCGACGAAAATACTAACTTGGGGAAGTGTGTCAAGCCAAGAACTTTTCAGCACCCCTTCATACAGCGACTACAAAATTTTTAGTTTTTTTTCTTTTTCCATTCATATTCTAATTTATATCTTTATCTTCAATTTATACATTTTAGCTTTGTCACTTCCTTATTTTTTTCTAATGTCATTTGAACTGAAAAATTATTAATGATTTTTGCAGATATTCTTTTATGAAAGAATAACATACTTATATACATCATTTCATCTGAGATATAATTTATCAGTTTTCAATCTTGACAAGAAACAATTCCTTGACAGAATGAGAATTCTATCTTTCAACTCATTTATAATTGCTCTACTGTAATCCACGTTTCTGATAAACAGCAATCAAATTTGTAGAGCAAGTCTGCTTTCTTTACTAATTACTTTAAAATTACTTTCCTTAAAAATTTCCTCCTCTTCATCCGTCCCTGTTTATTTATAATCCTTTGATCCAGAAATACACTTCATAAAACCTGATGAAAATGCTGTCGCTCATTAATTAAAGTAATTATTATTAATTTCACTTCTGAAATGTAAGGAAGCAAAATGAGTTATTATATTTGATTGTGAAAGATAAGCAACATCTTGAAAGGAAGGCATATTTCAATTAGTTATCATTGCTGCTGTTCTGAAATAATATTTCTAATTTTAGATGCCCTTAGTTATCTCTTCTCCAATTGCTCTCTGTGTGTGTGTGTGTGATCAGTAAACTTTTTTAAATGAACTCCATTCTTAATCATTTCTTATTTTTGTTAAGTCACATTATTATATAAATATAATTATTTTATGACATTTCCTTTCTCATTCAAATGTTAAGACAAAGGCTGAAAGAATTAAGATTCCAGTGTAAATGTTGAGTTGGTTGCTGTTTTTATTATTATTATTATTATTATTTCTTGTTCAGTATGAAATTAATATTGAAAATCAAACAGTAAGAACTTTAATGGGAGGTACAGTGGAGTAATGGATAGCGGCTCGGATTGAGGAATCAAAGAGCTAAGTTCAAATTCCATTCGAATCCATTACATTCACTTACCTGCTTGAGAAAAGTATGAATCCTCTTTTTCTCCTCCCAGCTATGAGTAAATAGTAGGACAGACTGGGTTCTGTAGTCTTGGGTGGCAACTGGTCTACCACAGAAAGAAATGGCGACCTAATGCAGGAAAAAAATTTGCCTCGTCAGTCATGTATCGAAAGATACATGAACTCCTAAGCAGGTATCATGCATGGCACATAACTGACTGAAGAACTTTAATTGCAAGTGCTTGATTTTAATTTTAAACACTGGAATAAAATCATTCAAATGTTTTCACATTCTATAATGATTCATTTTTGTTTCTCTGAATGAAGTAAATATAAAAAATAATGCCATTACAGAATTTGAGACGATTACTGAAGAAACATTATTTGATTTTAGTTTTAATCCCAAATCATTTTTTTCTTTTTGTTTTAATTTATTAGGATTTTACTTGAGTCTCTAAGCCAAATATTCACTCTTCATTGTGTTTAGCATGTTTTGCTATAGAAAATCAATACAATATAGTTTTATAAAATGCACTCATATATTTATAATTGTAATATTTCATGTTATCTCAAATTAAAGTGATATATATATATATATATATATATATATATATATATAAAAGAAATAAGTTGGTGATTCATACAAAAAACACTATCAACTAGAAAGAAACTTTTTCTTTGTATATAAAAACAGAAAAAATAGTCTAGTATGATTACTTCACTTCAGCCTTTATCAGTTATTATTTTATATGATCGATAGTTAAGCAGAGTCATCATGAAATGCAGATAAATTGAATAGATAACTCCAATGTCTTAAGTGTGTCATCAGTTTTCCATCCCAGCCTCTCATCCATGCACAGGTTCTAAGCCAGATTGTTGTTGTTGTTGTCTTTCTCCTTGCCACAACAGCCAAGAGGATTGACACATGTGCTTGCACATGCACACACAGCTTATCCCAGACTTCATGCTGGGTTCATTAATTAAGTGCATTTAACTTCTTTCTTGTCTTTGAAACGTTTTGTTATCTTTTCCAACTCGGATTCTTTCCTTCTACTGCCCTATGTGTGTGTGTGTGTGTGTGTGTGTGTGTGTGTTGCACCTTCTCGTGTAATTTCAACTTATAGAAATTCACACAAGTCACGCGTCAATTCTTTTTACGCCTTTGTCATTTAACAAATGAATCATTACTGCCAAACAGTTACCAGTGTTTAAAGGAAATTATCTTTCACTTTTTTCTATTTCTTTCCTAGCTTTTTTAAATTCTTAGCATCTCATTTTGATTTGGTCTCTATTTTTTTAGTTATTTTTGTTTTGTTATTATTGATCATGATGTTTTTATTATCAAAATTTCGTGGTATTGATTTTTACGACTAGCATCGATTTGTTGTTGCTTTCAGACTATATTCATATTTTATTGTTTATTCACTTTGAAGAATGTTGCATTAGAAATGGGGTTTGATACTTTAAGAATGGAACAACTGAAATGCGTCGAAATGCGTGTAGATAAAGGAACGATAGAAGGGAAATAATTTGTGCGAGTTACTTCCCTTGCTCAGTTGTCTTTAATCATATTGCACTTTGAGGCAAAACTATTCAGAATTATAAGTTTTATTTTTTTATTCCAATATTATTTGATCAGTTCATTCATTTTGTTTAAATTTTAGTTTTACATAGTAACTGAAAATTATTGATGATGTGACTGCTTTTTCAAATATAATTTTTCTTACATTTTAAGCAAATTAATGCATATTTTAATTCTTAAAAATACTTTTTTTAAAGGTTTTTGTCAAAGATGCTTTTATTCTAAATGTATTTCTTCATTGATTTAAATGTAGATTTCTTATGTTATTTCTGTTAAAATTTCTGATTAATAGAAATTTTCATCTTTTTATTTAAAGTTTTGTTTGTAAGTAGCCTTAACTTTTCTTGGTATTCTGAATAGTTTTAAAATAAAAATTTGAATCTGCATTTTTTATTTTCAGTGCTTCTTCACTTCTCCAACAAAATAGTAATCAGATTTCAGAATATTTACGGAAGAGAAAATATTGATTATGTTGTATTATACCAATTAAAAGATCCCTAACAAATATTTATAAAGAATGATTTAGTGTCTCATCATTTGTGAAAAACTCAACTCTACATCAAAGTTTCAAATGATAGCTCTTTGATTGTTATTACATTGATTACATTTCAATATCAAATGGATTTGTTTTTTAAGTAATGAAACAGATAATCAATATTTTCCTGTGTTTAAAAATAAAACACTTAAGAAAACTGTGTGATTTAAAGATTTGTTGTTTTCTATTCATCTCACAAATCTTTTTTATCACATTTTAGTAAAAAGAAAATTAAACAAATTAAATCTGTACTCTTTTGTATAAATATATTATGTACTTTATGGTAATTTAGTAGTAGATTTGACAGTCTCCACTCTGGAATGAAGTTCATTTAAAAGTAACTCACCTCTACAAAACAAAATCTATCCTTTCAAAATCACTCCAGTAAATGTTTATCTTGGAATAATATTAATATAGCAACTATCAATGACAAACTATTGCAATAATATATTAAGCAATTGCGAAAAGAAAGAAAGATGCTTCAGAATTGAAAAATAATATTTTTTTCTTTTTCTCTAGACCATAAAGATCCACCAAGTGACTCTTTGGTCTGTTCTCATTTTTGTTCTCTTGTGACTTGTGCAACAAATTTATTTAAATAATTTTGTAATGGGCTTCCACTCCCTTGTTAATTATTAAAACTGATATCTCCCATTGTGAAGAGGAAAGATATGGCTTCATGGATATTACAACATTGATTCTTCCAAGTTCATAACATGCACAGTATTAGCTATACATACCAATTTTGTAGAGGTTGCCATCAAAATATGACCCATATGCAATTAACCTCATCTAGAAATGCTTTCTATTTTTAAGCATAGAATATTGATGTTTCCTAAAGTTTCCAATTTCTTGTTCTCTTTCTTACATGATTATTGTCTCAATTATTGCTAATAGCAGACTTGTTTAGAAGTTGGCAATTACAACTTAAGATGAAGAAAGGATCAAGTGGGGTGGTAGACACCCAACAGAGAGACCATTATAGACAGGGAAAGTTGACAGTGTTAGACTGTTGCTTTTACTAGCATCTCTATCAACAATCTTTTAATGTCAGGTTAAAAGTGATAATGTTACACAAATTTATATCAACATTATCAGGGTAACATTTTTACAAATATAGTTTTTCAGTTTTACTTTTCTTTCTTTCTTTTTTTTTTTTTTAGTTTTTACTAATCATCAATAAAAGATATAAATCTAGAAATGTGGATAATTAACAAATAAATGGATATTGATAACTGTATATATTAACATTTTAATATTGTTATACATCATTTATCCATGCAAATTTTTTTTTGTTTTTACATATTTAAAGTTTGATTGTATATTAAATAAAATAGACTTATGAAATAATTATAAAAATAACTGAAATTACTAACAATATACAAGCTGTTAATTATAGTCTTTTACTTTTCAAATAACTATTATGGGGAATGTTAGTGCTAATCCTCCTAAGGATTGAACTCTTCATCCTTGACTAACAAATATTGTTGAATTAACCCATCCCACAGTCTAATTAAAAAAATAACCCACCCTTTTCCATAAGAGCTTCAAACAATTTGTACAGAGTGGGAAAAGTTTCATTTGCCTCTGGAATCTTACGCTGGACAATTTCACATGTTAAACACAAGGTGTAAACAAAGTAACCAGGACATTTGAAACTAAAAATAAAAGAAAACTGAAGTGAAATATAAAAGAAAATTTTTCATTAACAAATCAAACAATAAGTAAAATAAATATTTTTCAGCAAGTTTACATCATTGTCAGTGTAAATCTGCAAGCCTTCATAACATTTTGGAATTGTATTTGACACATTTCTGTTGTTGTTGAACATACTTATTCTTCAATAAAATTCTTTAAATCCACAAGTGTTTCAGGTTTTCTGTTGTAAACAGTATACATATAGTCCCAAGCAAAAAACAAAAATCTAAAGTATGTGATATCAGGGGTCATTCTGCCTAAATCAGTGATCCTGCTCTTTAAAGCCATTCATTTGATAATTTTCTATCCCCAAACTCTATGATGACACATTTACAGGTGCACCATCTTACTGAAAGATTGTTGTTTGCAAAACACTTTTGGATAATTTAAGCAATTCTTAAGGCTTCTGATAAAATTTTATATATATATGGCAAATAATACACCCTTCAAACTCTTGTATCTTAGATTAGCTTGTTTTCATATTAGCAAACTTTTCATGGTAAATTATGAACAAAATTAATTATTAATTAATTCTATATTAATTACTTTTAAAAAGAGCTAACAAGTAGTTAAATTATTATAATTAAATATCATAATAATTTAACTACTTTTTAGCTCTTTTTAAAAGTAATTAATATAAAATTAACAATATAACGGGATAATCAACTAGTGGCTCTTTCTAATAGTGTAATCATTCTTTTGCTTATGATTTATCTCAGCTTTCAATATTTCTTTTGGTTTTACATGCTAAGATCTTGTTTCTTGTTGCATCATGGATGTAATTACTCTCCAAATAATCTTACAGTTTACATATTTGAATTTGTCACCTTAGAAGTTCCTAAACTATAAGTACATGAATTCTATATTAATTATTAATAACAATTATTTTAGATATCTTACTCCAGAAACATACTTTTTATTAATTTCTTTAAGGTACACTGTTTCTTTAGAATCATTCTATTTCAAACATTTTTATTCTCTCTGCCCTGAAATCCAATTTTCTGTCACTTTGTTCAATTTTAATTCTTTTAAACAGATATTTAAAGAAAATAATTGTGCATCCAGCAGTGATGTAAAACCTATATCAAATAATAGCTCTCGCTTTCATGCTCATGCTCAGCTATTTATTTGCTCATTTTCTTTTTTAATCCTTCCTTCTCATGCCTTCACATGGATGGACACATTTGTTGGTCATATTCTATCTAGGAGTTTCAGAAGTAAAGTAATGCTAAGAAAAATACTAATAGATGCTGATGTCTTGCATTTGTGTGTCTAGCCACAGTTGACCTGCTTATGACTACTTGCTTGTTGTTGTTGGAATTACTCACAGCTATCATTGGCATTATTGGGAGACAACTTGCATCTCCCTCCCCCTCCATCCACATGGCTTGTGATGCTGCTGATTCTGTCTTTTACGAAGGTGGACATTGTGCTTCTTGTAGCACCCTCTCCACCTTCTCTTTTATCCTATCTCCATCCCATCTTTAACTGTTCTCTTCTCTTCTGTCCCATCCCAGATACATCTCCTTACTCTTTGTCTTCCCTCGCTCCTGTCTTCTTGTTCGGCTTTTGTCCAACCCAACTGTGGTGAGATAATCAATATGAAGATGTGGGATGCACATGCAGTGGGAGTAATTTAGATTCTTTTTTCATAATCGTACATAGCTAAAAGATGTTTGTATTGATCACTTGTACAAGTGGCTCACAATACAATACCCTGTACTATATAATGATGACTGAGCTGGAGTTGGTGGTGGTGGCAGCAGTGGCGGCGACAGTCTTGGAAGGCAGAAGTCTATCACTGCAACCCCACCGCAATTGAGATGGCCCCAAACCACAGCTCCCTAACCATCTTTCCTTCCACAATTGAAGCAGAGTATGATTTTTAACTTAAATGGCTTAGCGATGCTCAAGAATTACTGACAGGAAATTTTGATGTGTCCAATTACTGGTCCTCTGAACTATCATTTGTAGTACAAGAACATCAAAACTTGTATGAACTTCACTGTATTTCATGGTTACACAGATGAAAAACTACAAAATTGAGTTCATTTGGTAGACATTTTCTTTTCTTTTCATCTTTAGGCAGCTTGTCATACAACAGATTTTACAAGAACAGAAATGAACTGGTAATCATTGCTACATAAGAGTTATGTTTTTTGCCTAGTGAGTTACTCTTAAACATCAACACTTTTGGTGATGAAAATGTGAGAGTTTAGTCAAATGTTTGAAACACTTAACATCTGAAAACATTTAATATTGCTATAATATTGATAAATATTTAAATAGGTTTTGCATCGGCTTATTTGCCTTAATATCTGCTCTATACATAGACATAGGAAAAGCATGAATCGTTATGCTTCTGAATAGTAATAATTAGATATTTATTTGCATGCTAAGCTTATAGGAAATGAGATAAAAATAGTCTTCTGTTCCAGTTATTCTCAGTATATATTTATTTGTAATCATTTAATTTTGAGGTGAAAAAAAAAACTCGCCAACATTCCACTATCAACATACACACTCATATATATCTTGATCTGTTTTGCACCAAATAGCATCCAACATTATCCCTGATTCTGTTAATGTCCTATATGCTAACAAAATGTATGAATAGCTGTAAAATTCCTGTTCTCCTCTCTGTTCTCTTTTCTTCCTTTCTTCCCTCCTGTTTTCATGGTGTTATTGTTGTTCTCTTTCTTCTTAGCCTCCTGTTCTGTTTGGCTAGAACTCATCAATTTTCATCTGTCTTCCATCACGCACAGTTCAAAAGTCAACATTCCTAATGGCTAACTACTAACCAATTTCAAGGAATTTATCTGCTTAGCAGAACATTATTAGACAGGCAAATACAAATTATTGTCTCTCTTTATTCATTAAATCTATGCTATTTTAACAATACAGAGATTGATAACATAGTAAAATTTTAGTTCTTCCTGACTGAGTGATGGCAAAAATAATTTTTAATTTTCAAATCATTTTCTTTTAAGTGTGTTGCACTTAATGAACCATTCTGGTGCTGGTGATCATATCACTTTTTGTTGAATTCTGTAACTACTGAACTTCTAATAAACCTGCCAATTAGATATTTACATATTCTATGGTTAGAAAAACTAGTTTTCTTTTCCTTGATAAGTGTATGGTAATGATTATCACAAACTCAGAAGCCAGGACAGGATACAATCTCTGAGAAAAAGAAAAGCTTGATTTTAAACAAGTGGTTTGTGCTTTAGGAAATACAAAACTGTTTTCATGCTGTTAAATATCTGAACTATTGTCTCTAAGCATAGTTATCATTTGTACCATTTCTTTATCAAAATGAAAATCTTAGGAAAGACATTATGCTTAATCTGTTCAGAGGTTAGATTCCCATTTTGAAATTCCACTTTATATGTTCTTGCAGTTGATATTTTCATGATACAATGTTTTTAATTTTTTTGTTTTGAATTTTCTTCTTATATGTATGTATAGTTGTGTGTATATGTGTGTGAACTCTTTATAATTTTTCTTTCTTTAATATTATTCAGGAAGCATCAGGCCGTGTGCTGGATAAATGGACCATCGCCACCCGTGAAGAGGAGCACATTATTCTGCAACAGTTTCTTCGGTTTGGAGAGACCAAGTCAATTGCTCAGGAAATCATTCTTCAGGATACTAAAGAGAAGCAGGAGCTCTATGTCAAGCAGACTTCTCGGGCAGAGTCTGAAATCAAGAAATTCATTGAACGCAGCAATCTGAGCATGCAAAGTTACATGCGCCCATATGAGTCACGGCACCTGTTCTCCAATCGCATGCCATTTGTATCTCACAGTAACCGCCTTGTAGCACCGACTGCAATGCCGTACACTGCCACGACACCCCCACGTGACCTGCGCCCCACGAGCATACCCCCTGTTCCGGTACCTACATCGAGCCCCGTTACTTCGTCCCCATTGGGCCGGCTGCAGACCATGCTGCCAATTGATTTTCGAAGAGAACACATAAGTCCGGCTGTCAGTCCAGGTCTGTCAGAAAAACGTGCCTCTGTGCCACAACCAACACAGCAACCACCTCCCCCACCACCACCACCCTCCATTGGTGGAGACAGTCCAAAAAATTTGAGCACCACACCGACACCAACACCCACCAGTCCACCCCAGTTCCAGTCAATGAAACCTCATGAAGGGGGCGAAAACTCAACGAGCACAAACATCCAAAACATCACCCCACCCATTGTTCCTCCAGATGACCCTCCAATGGACGCAATAAACTACTCCACAAAAGACTGTGAAGAAACAGCTCTGTCTGTGTATGCAGATCGCAAAGTAAAACACCTGCGAAAGTCAGCCAACCCCATCAAGCGTCAATGGACTCCCTCGGCGTCATTTGGAAGTACCTTGATTGCACCCAACGGTAAAAAGCGTGTTCTCTGCACAGCTTGCAATAAAACTTTCTGTGATAAAGGTGCTCTAAAAATTCATTACAGTGCAGTGCATCTGAAAGAGATGCACAAATGTACAGTTGAAGGCTGCAGCATGATGTTCAGTTCTCGTCGCAGTCGTAATCGCCACAGTGCCAATCCTAACCCTAAACTCCATATGCCTCAAAAACGCAAACTCCCCGAAGGAGCTACTCTAGTCAGTGATTCAAAACCATCCTCTAGACTTATCAATTCTCCCCCTACTATGGTAGTGACCTCGTCTTTTCTATCGAGGACAGTGATTCCATCGCTAGATTCAAATGTCCTGAACAGAAGTGACCAATCGTGCTTTGTAGATGTTGGCAACAATCTTCCATACATGTCTTCTCCGGAGAAAAAAATTAAGATCGAAAGTAAGGAAGAAGAAGGCTTGAGTGAAGAAGCAATCGATATGAAGTCACGTGATGACATATTGAAGCCGGATGTCAGCAGCACCCAACGCGGCTTCAACCGAAGGAAAAGCTTGATCCCCACCCGTTGTGCCCAGATGGAGGAGACTTATAATATGAGTGATGAGAATTCTGTCTCTGATGAGAAAGATGCTTCTACTAAGCAAAGCAGGAAACACATGAACAATGCTGATAAGGAAAACCCTACCTCGAACTCAGCTGTGGATGAAGAAATTGATGACAAAATTGCAATAAAAAGGGAACTTCCAGACGGTTCTACTATTCGAGAAATGTCCGAGAAGAGCCTGATTGCCAAGGGGTATGAGGCAGTGAACCTGACAAGTCACAGTAGCGTTATCTGTGATACAAACTGCAGTCCCAAACTAGAGGCACGTAAAGAAGCTTGCCACTTCCCCAGGATTGCTTCCCTCTTGGCTAACAACAATAACTCTTCATCAGATCCTGTTGACCTCTCACAGGATGCTTGTGAACGAAGCCCCTCAAATCTATCCTCTCTGAACCTGAGTCCAAGTTCTGATCATGAATCTAATGCTTCCCAGGCTTCAACTGATGTGGAGGGTCACTTGGCTGCCAGGGCTAATGGAAGTTGCTCTCCAGATGATTCAAATTCAAACAGCGTCGATGTCCCCCTTGACAAAGACAACCCTCGCAAGTGTACTGTGTGCGGGAAAGTGTTACAGAACCAATTTGGACTGAAAATTCACTACCAGAACGTTCATTTGAAACTGATGCACACATGCACCGTCGACGGCTGTAATGCTGCGTTTCCTTCGAAACGCAGTCGGGACCGACACAGTACCAACTTAAATTTACACCGCAGACTCCTCTCCACATCTGATATGGACCAGTTCCCAGATGATGAGGAAATAGAAGATGTGGATGAGCTGGACGAAGATGACATTGATGATGACGATGATGATGATGAAGAAGGTGACGAAATGGGCACAGGTGGCAAAGAAAAGAAAGAATCTGATAACCGCATTAACCAAAAGTATGAGTCGGCTCGCATTTATGATGAAAACAGCAATGCCAAATTGGATGAGGAAAATAAGCAAAGTACCATCATAAATCCTAAACGTAATTCTAATGGACCATCAACTACAACTTCCACAGCTTCAGTAGGCAGTCACTCCAATGACAGCTTTGTTGATAGAGAAATCAACAGCAAGAGTCGAGGCGAGGAAAACTGCCACCCTACTCGAAATGGTGAAGACGAGAGTGGAGCTGATGACGATGACGGTGATGACGACGATGATGACGATGGGGGCGATCACCTGCAAGACGAGGATCTTGACAACGAACTGAACACTGCAGTCAGTTGCCACGTATGCCAGCAGAGGTTCCGCGACAACCTTGCTCTCAAGGAACACTTTGAAACCCTACATCCCAAAGAAATGTATCACTGTACAGTTTCAGGATGCGATAAGATTTTCTCAACCCGCAAAAGCCGAAACAGGCACACACAAAACCATAACCTTCATCGTCATTTATCGTCCACGAAAACAAACGGCTTGTCCTGACAGTCTGTTGCAGACATAGTCCTTGTAAAGGAACCATGATACCTCACAGAAGAATGCAGTGTTTTAAGTTCTGTCCTTATTATTATTATTATTATTATTATTATTATATAGCAAAAACAACAATTGCAAGTACAACCATCTTTAATATTCAACATTGATTTATAATGGACATTAACATAGAATGTAGCTATCACCAAATATAATTTATTTATTGCTGTCTCCAGTATTCTCAGAAGTACATGAATTTTTTTAGTACACAATATTTACAAATAGCAACAACAAAAATATTGAAAGAAACATTTTTATAAATTTTTACTTTTTCTTTATTTTCAGTTTTTCTTTGGTTTTAACTTGCTTTTTTTTTTAATTCTTTTCTCTATTTTTTAAAACTTTTTTCTTTCTAGTTGTTTCTGCTCAGGTATCAGTTGTTATGTTTGTATTGTCTGCTAATAGATTTCTTTTTTTACTCTATGCATATCATTTGATATTTATATAATGGTTCATTAAGAATCAGAGAGTCATAATATTAAATGGCAGGTATGCTGTCATCAAGGCTTTCTTCAGTTTTTGTGTCATTTAGATCTCATTGACATTTGTCAAACAAATCAAATGGTTTGCTGTTTTGTTCAGTAGCCATAACACTATTCCGTCCTAACAAAGATAAGGACATAACTTTGCAGTGAAGTCATTTCATACAGCATGGTCAGTTTTCTGCAAATTGCTCATTCTCTTTCTCCCTCTTTCTTTCTCTCTCGCACACACATGCGCATAATAGTATTAACCCATAAATGCAACGATTTTTGTTCTCTTTTCAAACTTTCAGATGAAACATTAGGAATATTCTTTCATTCCCAGGTTTCTCTTCTGATTATTTTTCATTTTTCTTCAATTCAACTTCTCCTTTTCAATGAACAGTAACAACAATATTTCAAAATAGTATCATTTATATTTCCTCAAGAGATCTTGAAATAATTTTTGGTATTTATTATGAGACTAAATTTTCTTTGTAAATTTACATTCTCCTATTCAGAGTTCCGACTCTCAGACTGTTTCGCAGGGATTTGCATAAAGGTTATGCAAACTTGGAAAGGAATCCTATTGCTTTGTATAGACACATACAGTGTGGGTGCACTATATTCAGTATTTGTCTACTTAGCTCCCTTTCTTATGCTGAGTCCTTTTTCTCTTGGTACAGATTCAATTTATACAGTGTCCATTATTTTATATCAAGAGAGTCAATACCCATTTCACTTCAATATCTATTCTTCAGTATTGGTGTGCCTTCTTCCTTTTCCACTGTATAGCTGCAGTAGGGCACAGATACTTGGGTATTTAGTTGCTTTAAATTGGACAATGTTCATATCTAAAAGTAAAATTTGTTACTCAGTATATCTGCATTTGAGTACCGTTCATTCTGTATAGTTGCAATAAAAGTTCATGTTATTTTTAAGGTTTAATTAAATATTTTCTATAAGATACAATAATTCTCTCATTAGAGATAACTATTTGAAACCTGTTTTACCAAGTTGACATTATCCTTATGTTTTAAAATATATGTAGCTCTCAAGTTAAATTATTATCTTAATAAATTTTCTCTTTTACAAATTCTGATAATGAAATAAGATTTTAAGTCAGACTATTTTTCTTAGGCACCATTTCTCCCTCATCATTTTTCCTACTAATCTTTTTGAGCAACCAAATCTCATTGTATATATTCATGTAATCAATCTCCAGGTTTTTAACAAAGAATCCATAGAAACAGAATATTTTTGTTGCTACTTTTACTTGGTTCCTTTGCCTCAAGTCTTTTTAACCTAACATTTTAGCATTTTTATTTTTGAAATTGTTTTTATTCCAGTAATTTAAACTCTCATTTTCCTGACATTTGGAGATTGATTCATTAATTTATTTGCTAAGGTTTTATTTATTTGCTCATCACTTTTTGCTTCCTTTTCATCCCCTTTGTCTTTTTGGGCATTTCTTAAAAAAAGATATAATTAAAAGGTGATTTAAAAATAACCATTTCACCATAGTCCTAATACCAGAAACCTTCTCACCACCAACTTTCACCATGCATTTTTATTATCATCCAATTTTCAAAACAAAAATATTAAAAAAAAAAAAATTTCTGTGAAAGTTGCCATAAATTTGTCTTAAAAAGTGAAAATAGGTGTCAGCATGCACCAAAGCAGGACAAAATTTTAACCCTAACATTAAGTTATTAACAGCCTTACTTGCTAAAATTAAGAAGAGGGCGAAATTTTTTTAAATAATTTTCTTCATGGCTATAGCTCAGTGGTTAGAACACAAAACAAGAAATTATCATGTAAAATTTTATACTCTTACTAAATTGATAAATATTGATATTTTGAAATCAGATCATAAAATAGGTCTGCACTCTAGTAACCAGTTTTGTAAAATTATTAATATGAAAAATAGCAATAAATTGAAATACTTATCTATACAGATTATTTTGTATATTATTTCAGTCTGTTATTCTTGAAATTAAATGGTGTGTATATATATATATATATATATATATATATATATATATATGCTCACTATATTTAGCTTAGTCTATCTGATGAAATTCTACTTAGCTCCAGTACATTTTTGTATTTGGGTATGTAATATTGATATTGAAATTACTTTTAACCTGGAAATCAAAGTAAAACCTCACTGCTCCCATTCATATTGTTTGATACAGCATCAATATTTGGCTCTTTTACTGCTCAAATATGCTATCGGCCAATAGCAGCAATACTTGAGTATAAACATTCATCAGGATTTACCTCCATTTTTCTTCAACACAAAATAAATCAGTGCATATATCTCTGTTTCTTGGTGGAGGCTAAAAACAGTTAATTTTGGTAAATTTCTCTTTCTTCATTTTTATTTTATTTTGTAAGCAGATTGTGATTTTGAGATAAAGATAACATGTGTCTAGTTTTTGTGTTTTGTAGATGTCATGTCACTTGGTGACTCAGGTTGTTCAATAATTTAGCTGATATGGAATTGAGTTTTACAGCAGTCTTTCTTTTTGTTCAGTGGGCCGGGCCACCTACCTGGCCAGTTTGTGTGAATGGATGGCAGAACTATTGTTGAAAGATGTAGCAAAAAAAGATGAATGTTACTAAAAGCTACAAGTGATAGGAAGTTGTGGAGAGCCATTATCACCCATGTCCTAAAGGGACACAGCACATAGAAGAGGAATTCTCCTTGTCAGTCTAGTTGCTTTCTCCATCTATTTCAGAAATAAAAATATTTTCAAATTAATTATTTCCACTGAGAAAGAATTTTCCTAAAATGCTGTAGTTTTTTCCTTTATCTTTGGTCTGTTCATTTTGGAATGTTGTGCTTGCATAAATTGGGCCTCACTGATTTGAACCTGGTTATTGTTCTGAATGGAACCATGAGAGCTGCCAAACCATCAGATTTCAAATCAGAGAGTTCAAAGGGTATGTGTGTGTAAGAGAGAGTTATTTCTGAATCATGTTTATAAAATTATAGATTTAAATCTAAATCTAAGTCTAAGAGTGGCCGTGTAAATCTTTATAAGTCTTTCATGTTTGATCTATGAGTATCTATCATATTTACAGATCGAAAAATCACTGTTCTTTGCAGTCTAAAAAATTTGAATAATTTTGGTTTTTAATGTTAGTGTCTTTCTGAGCAGACATTGAAGTGAAAATCCTAAAGAAAAAAAAAAAAAATTAATCCCAAGGAAAATAATGAGTAGGTGGGAACAGGATTTTCTTTTTCTTATTTTATTATAAATTTCAGTATATATTTTGAATCATTGTGAAAATAGTCTGATTCTGATGATGATTATTATTAATTTCAAAGTTCTTTATTTATATATTTGAATTTGTGAAGGTCTTATTGAGAGCAGAGCATAAAATGCAACACTGGTGATATTTTTATATCATACTCAGCCAAATATAGTTCTCTTATAATTTTCTCAAAGATTTTGGCCAAAGTGCAGAAATATGGAATTTATACAATAATTTTTCAACTTGATCAAATTCATACTGGAGGCACCAGGAACTGGAGAACTTTTTGCTTTAATATTTAAAGTTATGCATCTAATGCTTTCAATTGGCTAATAATTTACCAAATTGATTTTTATTATTTCAATTCATATTAATACCATTTAAAAGATAATAAATCCCACCAACCTTTTACATCAAACTTTCTCACTTTTTTTTTACATTTCTTATTTCCTTTGATGTGTGTGATTTTAGTTGTCCTAAACTCCTCCACAGACCTGAAGGCAGCATTCTGGCTTGTACTGTTCATCATAAAAGGTGACCAACAATTTAGCTTTGCTTTTTATTAGTTATCATTTCTGTTTCCTTTGTTCTGCATTGCATTCCAAGCTTGTTAATACAACTTTGTTCATTTGTGTCAATTTGGTAACCTGATAGATAGCAAAGAATCATGACAAATGAACATAAAGATATAGGTTTACGTTTTTATTCTCTAATGATCACAGTGATCATTCCAATATGATGATTGTCTATGAACTGAACTAGTCTACTTGCCATTCACTGACCACTGCATTATTTCAGGAAAACGATGGATAATAACCCTGTTAGTTATCAATAATTATAATAATTATTTTTCACTATTTCTTGATTTTAATTAAGATAACAGATTGTTCTAGTTACCTACAGGTTTTTTCTTTCTTTCAAAACAAAATCAAAAACAAATGAATGAGTCACAATGGAAATTATATAACCTCACCCATCCTGTATCAGAGATTGAATAGTGTTTCCCATACTTTCTAGTATAGTGCTCTTACCACTGAGCTATTCCTTCAAGTTACTAATTCTAATAGCAGTATTAATTGTAAAGTGTAAAAGTAATAAGTCATTATTATGGTGCTAATAATATAATTAAAATCATTGTGTGTGCTTTAGAGATGCAGAAAGCAATTTTTCTATATCAAGCTATTTCCCATTTTATTTGTTTCATAATTCTTAAGGTCACATGTAAAATAATTTTTTTTATTGTATTTATTTTTCTTTAAATTCCTATCATGTTATTTTTTTTTTAATTTCATGATCAGTTTCATTGTATTTATGAATATCTTCATTTGTCTGTAAATTATATTTCACATCTAGTAATTTATCTTTCATTTGTCAGATTAACAGAGCCAATCAAAGTTAAGATCTTGGACAAGTTTCTTTATATCAGATATATAAACCAAAGCCTGTTCAGTTGAAACACTTAAATTTAAAAAAACATCTGGAAAATTTACAGATCTTCCTATTTTAATATTGCTAATGTTTTTTTGTTTGATTTTAATATGCACTCTGTGTCTTCAATTTACTGCTATTACTTGAAGATGATTATTATTGGATTATGACTTATTCCAAAAAGATGTTGCTGATTTTAGAATGCATATTAGATGATGCAATTAACTCACAATACTCTGTGTACATTAAAAACATTTTATAGTTATTCATATGACAGTCTGGGGAAGATTTTTACTTAGCTCACATTTAAACTTAAATTTGGACATAGGTGTAATCTTTCTTGTCCTTTAAGCATTTTCAGTCAGTGCCATAATTGTAAAATTCATAATATTGTCAATGACAAAACACTGATGGATTTTGATTTCTAAATGCCAAGTATGCTAAATACTTTGAGCAAATTCTTCCTTTTCTTTATGAAAATCTTTTTAAAAGTTGAAATAAATCAATATGGATTAAGATTCATTTTAGCATTTTCCATGTATGACGTATTTTCCATGTATGTATTTTCTATATTTTAGACGGGTCACAAAAGATGTTAAGACAAAAAAAAATGCTTATTTTCAGATCTTTTAAAAACTAGTATGTACTTAGGTGTTCATTGTATGTTTAAGGATTTATATCTTCATAGCTACCAAACTGATTCATATAATTTTGTCTATGTTAAATTATGTGCAGCTAAGAAAATGTCACCAGCAAATCTTGAATTTCATAACTTCTTTTCTTACAATACAGCACAAAGAATCGTTTTAATATTTATGTAGAATTTATTATTGAAATATTAAAATAATAGACATTATGTAAGAAATAATTACTGACTGATAAATTTGGATTATATTCTCTACTTTTGCATATTATGGTCTGTTGAAACGTTTTTAGCCAATGAAGTGATCTGGCAAAAATTTGATGAATCTTTATCTAACTTTGATCCATTATTTATTTGAATAGCTGATAGCCCATAAATCATTCTCATTATCAAATTTTCATCTTAGGTTTTCATTCATAACTATTCAGTTTAATATCTGTATTTTTTCAGTCATGTTTTT